ATCTGAGGAGAGATTAAAAAGACTGGGACTGTTCAGCTTGGAAAAGAGACAACCAAGGAGGGATATTATAGAGGTCTATAAAATCATGACTCATGTGGAGAAAGCGAACAAGGAAATGTTATTTATCCCTTCACATAACAAGAACCAGAGGTCACCCAATGAAATTAATAGGCAGCAGGTTTAAAACAAACAAAAGGGGAAGTACTTATTCACATAGCACACCGCCCACCTGTGGAACTCATTGCCAGGTGACGTTGTAAAGGGCAAAACTATAACAGGGTTCAAAAAATAAAAGGTAAGTTCCTGGAGGATAGGTTATGTGAATGGCTATTAGCCAAGATGGTCAGGGACACAAACTCATGCTCTGGATGTCCCTACACATCTCACTGTTTGGTACTGGATGACACGGGATGGATCACTGAATACATTTCTCTGTTCACTCTCTCTCTGAAGCATTTGGTACCAGCCACCATCAGAAGACAGGATACTGGGCTAGAAGGACCATTGGTTTGACCCTGTATGGCCATTTTTATGTTCCTAAATTTGTAATTCCATTAGCCCCTTCAGTACCATTTAACATATACTTTAAAACCGGAAAGGAAAGAAGATGGAGAAGAACCTTGTGCACTTTTTCTGATTATTTGACCAAAGCCAAACTAGCCACTGAATGTACCTAATCTGAACAGAAGACAGCATGCAGCAAAATTCCCACTACTCAGCATGAGTGTAGATTCTAAAATATTTTATTCTCTCTCTTGATTTGTTTCATTCAGAGAAAACTACTACATATATGTAGGAACAAAAGGTCAACAACTTGTTTTGTAAAGATCATTCAACTGTATCTATAGATGTTTAATTATACTAGTCCAAGTGTATACATACATCTACTTCCCCAAACAAAATACTAAGTACAGAGCATTAACCTTAACTTTGAATACTCTTGCTTTTGTAACTATCATGACCTATATGTTAAAAACTGTATTTAAATGTGCTGGCTGTATATTCTGCCTATTTGTTCCTATGCAATACGGCTGTCATTCTACGGAAGTCACACCAAAAGTGCTTTTTCCTCCCCTCCAAGAACAGCTATAATTTTACTGTGACCTCAACACAAAGAAGCTGCATTTCCTCCCTCTGCCGCCACCACCACCACTGCACAAAAGAGTGAGAGAAGGAAATTTAAGCACTGTGCCCCCTCTTCAGAGAACGTTCCTGAGTTAACTCAGAACCACCATTTATTAAACACAGTTGATAACTGGTTCTTTAAAGAGCTGTAACATATTGGAACTACTCTAGTAACTAGGCTGTAGCACCCAAAATGAGCTAGGTGCATTCCAAACAAAAAAAAAACAAAAACCATACATGACTTGTCAACTGCAAGCAAAAGTTTTTATAAAAAGTCTTACATTGGACAGTTTCTGTAAGAAATTAAAATATTCCTTAAAAAAATAAAACAAGTTTGTTTTCCTGATAAAATGGACACAAACTATGTACAGTTTTTCAATTTTAAAAAAGGTGCATGTTTATCACCCAGGTGAAACACACAAGCTATACTGCACAGCACACATGACCGTTATGGCCTGGCAGGTATTTCATATTCTAGACACCGTAATATTTATACCCTGTCTATAGCAGCAAAAAGATTAACTGTATTCCAGACTAGTTTAAATTAACATGGTTATGCAACGAACAGTATTACACTAAACTATTCTTACAATTGTTAGAGCATTCCCCAGTCCCTTCAGATACGTTTTATAATGCATGGCATGACTGGGACAAGGCAAGGTAGTATGGCATGATTCCTGACATTGTTTACACTGATTTACATGGCATTATTGGTTTGGAAGCTCCACTTAAGTTGTTAGTATCACCCTGTGTGTTGTGGGACTACCCAGGAATCCTAACACTGTGGTACAGTAAACCCCGTAAAAGGTCTGAGGCTGTCACTAACTGGTTTAAGGTAAATCTTACGGAGAGACTAAGGATATGTCTCCATTTGACCTGAAAGGTGATATTCCCAGCTTGGGTAGATGTACCTGAGCTAGCTCAGCTTGACTGAACACCTAAAAATAGCAGTGTATCCAGAGTGGCATGGGTGGAGGCATGGACTAGCCACCCAAGTATATACCCAGGGAGCCAGGCAGGACTGTACTTGGGGCTTCTAGTGATCACCCATGCCGTTGCACACACAATGCTATTTTTAGGTGCTAGCTTGAGCAGATCTAGCACAGGTACATCTATACAAGCTGGGAATCACACCTCCTAGCTCATAACACAGATGTTACCTAAGCCTGCACCATCATTGAAATAAGGTTTCTAAACAAGTTCTAAAACTTATGCTGTCACAAACTGATTTTGCTACTTATAATATAATAAACATTATTTTCTTCAAAACTGTTTATTAGCTGCAAAATGGCCAAAGCCCTAGCAATCCCATGTCAATCCTATGAAACATTTCACCTAAAGTCTTCATTAGCATCACAGAATCATCAAAAAGTAGGACTGGAATGGACCTTGAGAGGTCATAAAGTGCAGTCCTCTGCTGTATTATTAGACCATCCCTGATGGCTCTTTGTCTAACCTGTTCTTAAAAACCTCCAGTGATGGAGATTCCACAACCTCCCTACATAACTTGCTCCAGTGCTTAAAATGTCCTTACAGTTAGGAAGTTAATGTCTAACCTAAATCACAATGAATGTATTTATTTCACCCTTTCCTTTCTAGGCATAAGAAATGGTATTGTGTGATTATAGAGTTGTGAGGTTTAATGTTTGTAATCACTTTAAGACTCTTGGATGAAAGATTATATATAAACAGGTGGGTAAATATTCATGAAGGTTTAAATACACATTTTAAGCATCCAAAGAAATAAAGCAAAAGCATGATTATATTAAAGACTTCTATGCTTCTATCGTAATTATATAGTTAATGAATACTCTTGTCAGAAATGGAATAACAGAAGTCAGAAATGACCTGAATAATCTACTTTATCTCCCTGCCAGTGCAGGAGTGTTCTCTATATTAAGTTTTCCCTCTATTTTTGCCTTGTTATGTCCAATTCCATCCCATCCTCATACTAAACTATTCTTCTCCATTGTTGGTGATAACACCCTGCAAATATTGATAGACTTATGCCTTTTCACCCCGCCTTAGTCTCTATTTAACAAAGTGCATATTTGGCTCTTTTATAAAATATCCACATTGCTCTCCCAGACAGAGAAGAAATAGGATTTTGTTGTTGGGTTTGGGGGTTTGTTTGTTTGATCTTTGTTTTTTGGAAGAGTTGCTAGCCATTAAGTTTTCCAATCTTGCATATCCTATTTAAAATCAGACTCATTAAAAAAAAATCACAGACTGCTTCCAAGATCATTGCTCTGCCACCTTCTGTAAAAGTTAAGCATCTGCCAAAATTTCATCAATGAAAAAATACGCACACTTAGATGACAAAACACCATACCGAGATACTAGAAGTGCTCATGTATAATAATACACTTCTGAAAGGTTTAGAAAGCTTACAGGTCACTTGTTCTGTTACAAAAGAATACTAAAATAAAATATAAGTGTTATGCTACCTAATTAACCTGTCTTCATGCCAAAACAGATTTTTGTTTCTGATACTATCTCTCTCTCATGGTCTCAGAATTACTCCTCTGCTACCACTATCTACTTCCGGACACCCTTTACTTTCTATCTCACATCTTACTTAAACGGTGGGAAGATATGACCACTTATTTTGGTGAGAAAGATCCCCAAGGATTGTGGGATTCACTGGCTTTGCCATTAGCTGCAAAAGCAGCCTCCCTTCTAATTTCTCCCTTTCTGAAGGCAATTTCAATTTACACCATTTGCACACTTGCAAAACTGAAGTGAACCACTTGCCAAACACCTTCACTGCTACATGTTCTGAACAGCTCCCTTTCCTTCACCACCTTCCTCACCAGCAGGCACATCTCAAGAGCAGATAAAATGTATTGGAAAGTTTAGTTTCATAAGCTAACCTCAGAAAAATCTCAGGGGACTTGCTATTATTCATTCAGAAAGAGTATGGTCTCCTTCCTACCTTTTTTCTTCACTTCTGGACAAAACTGATTAATACAACGCTGTTTGCACAGAGACAACTGTACTCACACCACTTCTTTCTCTGAACTATCACACACATGAACAAAAATGAGATCTGCCCCCCCCCCCCAAAAAAAAAATCATCAAAACATTTTCCTTCTTTCACTGTCGAACTGTCTGAACAACTCCTCTTTCAACCCCACCCCACCCCCGCTTCCAAAAAATCCTCACTTCTCTGACAGCATCTGATACACTCTTCTTCTGGACAAAAACCATCTCCCACCTTTATGCGGTGCTTTTTACCCAGTGGGGCTTCTACCCTTCCAGGTAACAAACGAGTAGGTCAAAAGGTGCCCCCCCCCCGCCTCGCCTTCCTATATCCCACAAGGGGAAGCTCGCCACTAGATAAATACAATTCGACGGCAGAGCTCCCTGACTGCCATCATGTACCCGCACCCACGCCCCTCCTCCCCTCTCTGACACCCAGCCCCCGAGCAGGCTGCACTGGCCTGCTCCATCTTCTCCGCAGGGCAGGAGGGACAGGAAGTTCCCGAGAGGCCCCTCAGTGAGAACAACTCGCCCACCCGTGCGGACCCCCCCCCCCCCCACTCGCTCTCTCTCTCTCACACACACTTTGGATTCCCGCTCCTCGCTCGCCAGCCACCCCCAGGGCTCCCGCCCCAAATCGCCCCCCGCCCCGGAGCACCCTCCCTCCTCTCGCCTCTCCCCTCCCCAGGATGTCTCCCCCCACACACTGAGCCCATGACAGCGCCCCCTCCCCCCGCCGCGGGGCGGGCTGTCAGCGCGGGGTCCCTTCCTCCCCCGCGGCCGCGGGGCAACCCGCGTAACCCCGCGCCTCTGCCCTCAGCCTCTCCCGCGTACTCCCTCGTGCCCGCCAACCGCCCCTGGCCGCCAGCTCGGCCCCCCGCTCGCTCACTCACCCGTCCACCGCCCACTGCACCCCGCTACTGCCGCTGCCTCCTCCCCGCTCAGGCTCCTCGGGAGACACTGACACCGGCTCACGGATACCCGCTGGGCGCTATTTTTGGGAAAGGAGGCACAAGGCGGAGCCGGAACTACTTCTTCTGTCACTCTCGTCTCAGAACTCCCACAACGCTCTGTGGTGTCCTTCCGCGCCGCTCTCCTGACGGCTCCCGCTGGGATGCAGCCGGCCCCTCAGCAGGCAGGGAGATAGGGTATGGGGGAAGGCCTATAATCTGTCCCAGGCAGAGGGGACCGACTGCGCCCTATCGACACGCCTAGCACCGCAGGATTATTTTGTTTGGGCATAGGGAGCGGCGGCGTGTAAGATCTTTACACCCGACCCAATCCGAACAGAACCGGAAGCTGATAGGCAGCGGGACAGAGTGACTGAAACAACAGTCCAATCAGAGAGAGGAAGGGGGTCGGGAAGAGTAAAGTGCCACTCATCCGGACAGCAGCTGGTGGGCTGGAACGCGGAGCTCTTGAATGACAGGACTAAACACCCAATCAAAGACAGAGAGAACGGAACGCACCAACCAATCAAAACTGAGCACTGTCGGCTTGGAAGGAGACCTTGGCGGTGGCTGGAGCGCTGATAGGGACGCGCATGCGCACAAAGGACCCTTCGTCTTCTCTGTCGCTCTTACTTTAAAGCAAGTGACGCAGGTACGTGGGTCCGTCTCCCATGGAACAAGAAGCGCATGCGCAAGCAGCCCCCTCAGGGGTAGGCCTGTTCCCTGCTCTGCTTGGCCCCTTAGGCGCGAGGGGTGGGGGGGGAGCCAGCTCTCTGATGCAGCCCCCCGGCCACGCCTCCTTCCCCTCCTCAGAGCACCCCTACAGCCCCTCGGGTTCCCCTCGGTCACACCCCTCACCCAGCTCTGTCCAATCACCGCCCCCTGGGCACTCCCTCATCTGACCACACCCCCACCGGGACTGCCAACTTTCTACGGGCACAAAACCCAACACCCTTGCCCCGCCCCTCCTCCGAGGCCCTGCCCAGGCCCCGCCCCTTCTTCGAGGCCCAACCCCTGCTCACTCCATCCCCCTCCCTCTGTCGCTCGCTCGCCCCACCCACCCTCACTCCCTCAGGGGCTGGGGCACGGGAGGGGGAGGGCTCCAGCTGGGGGTGCAGATGAGGGGTTGGGGGTGCAGGAGGGTGCGCGAGGGTGGGATTGAGGGGTTCGGAGGGTGGGAGGGGAATCAGGGCTGGGCCAGGGCGTTGGGGCTCCAGCCAGCACTTACCTCAAGCAGCTCCCAGCCGCAGTACGTCCCCCCTCCAACTCCTACATGCAGCAGCTCTGGGCACTGCCCCGGCCCCAGCCCCCGCAACTCCCCTTGGCCCGGGCTCCCGGCCAAGGGGAGCTGCAGGGGCGGTGCTTGGGGCGGGGGCAGCGTGTGGAGCCCCCTGGCTGCCCCTGTGCGTAGGAGGAACATGGCCCACGTCTGATCACACCCTGGGCCCAGTTCTGTCCAGTTCTGACACTGCCTCCTGTGCGCCCCCTTATTAGGGTAACCCGAGGTCCTGTTACAGCCGCGACAGTCCCATTTTTAAACCCTATCCCAGCTGTCCTGGCTTTTTTCACAGAAGTGGGCATTTGTCCTGTTTGCTCTTTCCAACTGATCAAGTTGGCAAGAGCAAACAGGACAAATGGCCACTTTTGTCAAAAAAGTAGTGCACAAAGGAACATAAGGGGGGTACGCGTCAATGCAAGACCTGCCCTGCATAGGAGGCAGAGCTCAAGGGAGCAGTGATGCCAGTGTCAGCCTCACGCAAGAGGCAGGCAGGAGTCGGGCTAGAGGCTCAGGCCAGCCCCGTGTGGGGGTATGAGGGGCTCAGGCCAGCCCCCCGTGCGGGGAGAGGGGGCTCGGGCCAGCCCCACATGCTGTCCCTCCAGTTTACCCTTTCAGAAATATGGTCACCCCACCCCTTATCCAATCACAGTCCTCACCCTCACACAGCTCCTGTCCAAATCACACTGACCCCTGCACACTCCTATCCATACTTAGGATGAATTTTGTCAAGGCCTGCTGACTTGAATACAACTAACTTATCTAAATATTGTTTAACCTCCTCTTTCCCTGTGCTGGGTCATGAAAGGCAGCATCATTCTGTACTAACTATAAATTTCCAAGAGGACTTCCATGGTTGTCCCAAGAAGACAAATATATTGGGATAATCCAGTCCGAAAGGCATAAAGCTGTGGATGACAAAGATGAAATCCACATCACAGAGTAAAAAGATTGCTACCTTGTAAGCCAAATGCAAATGGTAAAAAGGAACTTCTGGCCACTGCTTTCACTTGAGAATCCAAGAGTAGATAAGGACTCTAGGATCTGAAGTTTACATTGTTTGATAAAGGGTAGGTAAACCAACCACAAAACAAATCAGCCAGCACCTCCCCCACACACACCTGAAAATACTTCATCCTACCACCAGTGCCTCCTCATCTATTCTGCACTGAGTCTGAACCAGCTCCTGTTTAATCTATGTCCCAGTACCAGTCAGGAAAATAGGAGAAATTTCACCAAATAGGGCAGCCCCGATTCTTTCACTATCTTCCTAGGAGGAGTAATGGAACAAAACCCCACAGAACATCACATGAGAGTGCTCATAGGGCACGTGAGTAATTATCCAACAGTACTCCTTCTGGGGTCACTCTTGAGAGGTAAGGAGAGAATCATCAAGATGCAATTCCATCTATCCAACATAGGATTTACAGGCAAGACAGAAAAATCATGGCCAGTGGATCAAAGACTACTGCTAGATCAAGAACCACCAGTGAAACAAAAATCCTCCCTTTTTTGACCAAGATAACTAGTGCAATTTCTGTGCCATGTATACAAATATGATCAAAGGAATGGAAACTATGCAAGAAAACCATGAAAAGAGATCTGTATTTGCTGGGAACTTATCCTAATTGTAAATAGATAACCTCAGAGATTATTGGTTGTGGATCTCAGTTAATGATCTCTGTTCATGATCAGTTCATGATCTCTGTGTGTATATAAAGTCTGCTGCAGTTTCCACGGTATACATCTGATGAAGTGAGCTGTAGCTCACGAAAGCTCATGCTCAAATAAATTGGTTAGTCTCTAAGGTGCTACAAGTACTCCTTTTCTTTTTGCGAATACAGACTAACACGGCTGTTACTCTGAAACCTGTCAGTTAACATGGTTTTTCAGCAGTTATAATGGCAATAGAGCTTTTCCACCACTCTCTACTCCTAAGCATTTCCACTCAATCAGAACTCTTCAGGACTTCAGGGTCTGTCTAAGTCATCCTCCCTGATTTAATTGCCAACAGATTCTTATCTCACATTGTAGATCCATGAACCCAAAAGTAAACATTCTAGGCTGGGAATTACCTTTCCAACACCTTATGTCACCTCTAGAGCATATGTGGTGTTTTAAACAGCGGCTTTTTCACAGTGTGTTTCACACAAAAACTCTCAGTCTCTGGCTCTTAATTAATATACCTAATGGCATTTGTTTTATTTCTTAAAAAATAAAAAAACAGGAATTGTAAAGTCACAAATAAATTAGAAGGTGTGTCGCTTTATGGGTATTTGTCAAACAATAAAAAAGCAATGTAGGATGTCCTAGAAGAGGCTAAAAACATATGTTCTAAAATCCACAGGCCAAATTTATTCTAGTGTAACTTCAACAAAGTTGATGAAGATATTCACAAAAGGAAGACCACATTATCCCACTCAAGTACATAAGATTGCTTCTATAAGAATGCTGTAATGTGGGTGTATGGTACATTTGTCAGGTTGGAGTTACAGGAAAAAGTTCTCTTTCAAACATGGAATCACAGATGTGTTGTTTTGAGTCAGCTGCTGTTTGGCCTCCTTTCATCAGGTATTAAATGTCGGAAATATTTGTATTGTCTACATCACGCACTGCATGACTGACCTACATCCCAGCAAAGCTTGTGATATTTAATATGTTCTCAAAATGACAGAATATAGGTTTCTCTGGGATTCACACACTTCTGCCGGGTCTTCTGCACCATTTTGCATGTTAACATGAATCAACAGCTGGGTTTAAGCGTGATGATATAAATAGCAGCATCATGCTGCAAGCGAGCTTCTTGGAAAGTAAAGAAAAAAATACATTATTTAATGCATCCTGACATTTGCTTTTCCTCCCCTTATTGCTAAGCTGTATTTCTGTACACACCCTCACAACAAATGCAAAGAAGTTGACTTCTTCATATTGACATAACAAATGGTGCCTGAGCCTAAGAGAAGATGATATCCAGAGCAGTATACCTCCCTTTAGCCACACAGCTGGCAAACTGTACACAGTAGGAAAAGGAGTCATAATGTAGATGGAAATTTCAGCTTCCAACAGGATTTCAGATCTACAACCTTTGGAATTTTATTTTCATGGTTGTTCTATGTAGTTTCAGAAACTTCCTGCTTTTGCAATATCTTTCCATTCATTAAACTTCAGCTTGCAATTAAACATTCTGACATAACATAGCTGAGATTCCTTGGCAACAACTTTAACCAGAGGTTTTCAAGAGTTTCCTTCAGATGGCTTTAAATTTTCATATCCTCATGAATGCTTGCCACCTTCTTTTAATAACTTGAAAAAATAAGCCTCTCTTAAGGAAGTTCATTGTTCCTATATTTTCCCAGCACACATGTCCTGTTTTTAGAAATGTGGGATGCACATGTATATTTATAGAGACAGATGCGTACGTATGCATATTATAACTTTACATCTTACACAGAACACTTGGTAGGCTAAGCAGATCCAAAGAAAAATGGTTATTACAGTTTAATATTTTATCCACTAAACTACTTTTTTCTTTCCATAATATTGGATCATTTCTACATTTTTCAAAAATTCATATTTACTGCATCATTCAGACACTGCAGCCTTTCATCTAATATTATATACTGGTTAAAATATGTGTACTGCTGAAAAAATAAATGCAACAGTAAACTCTCTGTTTTTTAAATTAATTAATTTTTTTAAGCAGTACCAGCATCAGCAGCTTGTCCTTCCTCCGAACTGGTAGAAATTTCATTTGAATTTTTAAGATGCTTCGATACAATTTACCATTTAGAAACCTATATAAATGCATTTTGCAGTTACTTCTAATTTGAATTTTAAATAAGATAAGTAAGGGTTCTCTATGCTAAAACTGAACTCTGAGTCACTTAATCTGAAACAAACTCTTAAAGGGACACTGTCAGTTTAAGAATTGTGCTTCTGTCTAGGTTATAAAATTACTAAATTTGAGAGGTTAGAGAAAGAATATCCTTTTTGCCAGTTGTTTAACTTCTATATTTGACAGCACTGTCTGTATAAAGTCAGTTTCGCTGGTTCCGTGTATAGAGGCTGTTTTCCCT